CCCATACACACCCCTGTACCAACTGTCCCCAACAGACCCTCCCCCAGCATGCTCAGGTATAATGACTTGTCAGAACTTTACCAGCCCTGACCTAAAACAACACTGGATGCCTGCAGGATAATCCCCCCTGTTATGAGTCAAAGCTTGCTGGTAACTTACTGGATCTGGTCTTGCTGATTAACACAGCCTTTCTTGCCTCTGGAATGTCCCTTTATAACTTTCTGCTGGACAACAATGGGGGCCTGCAAGCCCTTTTCCGTAGAGCGTAATTGGTCATTTTAATATTCTACGTAGAGCGTAGACGGACCGCTCTAAAATTTTGCGTAGAGCATATTCGCCGTTTTAATTCTACGTAAAATGTAATTGAGAGGTTTCCGAATCCAGCGAAGAGCGTTGTCGGGACCCCCCCCCCTTGCAGGCCCTCAACAATCACTGGGCCCCTCCCCCCCTATGCCTTTTACCGTAGAACGTAATCGGCCGTTTTAATTCTATGTAAAGCGCTGTGGATGGACAGCTACAATTAGTAGAGCGTAATTGGCGCATTTTGCGTAGAGCGCAATTCGCCCCTTTAATTCTATGTAATGCATTGTACTAGTAAATGCATTGTAGCTAGCCGGCATTTATCGTAAAGCGTAATGGGGGAGGCTTCTTGAATTCAGAGTAATACGTAGCCAACTCTCAAAATTTAGTGTTGTCGGGCTGATGTGCAATAACGTTATCTATAATGTCCTTGTTCTGGTGAAGATTAACTTGTACATTCAGGAATATCTGTGAAACAAATAATTTCTTTGGATCAGCCCATCCCTTAAACTTAAAGCCGACCATCACAGTACAAAGTGTTATTTTCCATTTTCTGACCTGTTGATTTAAACTGCAAACAAAACTTTGGGAAACGATAACAGAACTTTGCCAAATACTAACACAACTTTCCAGGCCGCAAACAAAACTACTCAAACTGTTAAAACAACTTTCCTGCAGTTGAGGGAGCCCAGCTGACGTCCTGACAAACTTGGTACAGCTGGCAATGCAGCTCTAGGGTCTGACATTCATTTTTTTTAGCTTGAAAGTGAGTGGTAGAATTTTTTTTTTCAGTGTTCTGCAATGTTGCAGAATGTTAAAATTTTGCTATGCAATTCAGAATTACTTTCTGCGCATACACACTTAAAAGTCTGGATCTAAACCCATGGCATATAAAAAATTGCATGTTGGCAAACATTTTACCATCAATTTGAAAAATACATGCAAAATTACTTGTATGTTATGAGTCAGCAGTAGACACAAAAGCTGTCAGCTCAGTTCCAGGGTTTGATCTACATTTTTCGTAGCTTGCAGTGTTAGAAATGCCAACCTGCAGTCTGCATTTATCACTATCATTGTAAATTACCAGCGTCACAAAGACTTGACAGACAATTCACACTGATTATCACAACCTTGTTAATAGATGGCCACACTTCACACAAGACAAAAAGTGCAAAATTTTTCCCCAGATTCAAATTTTTCTTCACATGACAGAAGCATACAGAGCCAGTTATTTCCCTCGAACCGTCATCGAGTGGAACACACTACCAGGTACACTCATATCTTGCACATCCCTTGATGCATTTAAGGCGGGATTGGCCAGTCACCTTGGCCTCTCCGCCAATACCCAGCTGTAGGGTCATTTTTGTTTTCTGGTGTGGCTTTTGTATATAGTTGCACATTTCGGTTTCTTCTTTTTGCAATTTATTATTTATAGATCATTTTTCATTTGTTTGTATATTTTTGTTGCGCACCACCACCTGCCACACCAGCTGCACCTCCTTTCCCGGGACGTGATGTGCCGTGAGGCACTTTGTCCCGTATCATGTAGATGTAGATGTAGATAAAACTGTTACTATTTATTACCGTTGTAGTAAAACTACTGGTACAATCATGGAGGTAAAAATTACCTCCATGGTACAATGCATCACAAAAACATGACAGGCAATATACACTAATCATCACAACCATGTTAATATGACAACATTTCACAACAAAAATGCACAAAATTTTCCCCTAGCTTCAAATTTTTTGTTCCCCAAGTGATGAGATCCTGTTTACTTGGGCCAACTGTGATGTTAGCTGGTAGACAGGCAATAGTTTCTAGTTCAAGGACTTCCTCAGACATTATCAAGTCTGTTTGCTGGCTGATTGCCAGTACAAGGATCTCCAAGCAGATATTTAGGTGGCTACAAGTAACAAGACTGTATCAAATTGGCAACATTGTGTCAAATTGGCAGGGCTGTAGCCAATATACCACCAGAGAAACGATTAGCCCAATGGAGGTAATTCAACCAGGCCGGCTATGTTGTCTATATGCAGTCAGAAAATAGCACATAAAATCTCCCAAAGACCCTGAAGACCCCCAAATCCCCCAGATTTTGGCATGCTATGGAGGCTATCTCTTGTCGACATGTCAGATCGTGCTGATGTCGTTTTGTGGACTGTAGCTAAATGCACTCCTGTGTTTGCAGCGATGACAGCAAAAATGGCCTGAATTTGTGGCCTGATTGCGAATCAAAATAAACGGAGAAACTCCTGGGCTAACTGCGGGGAAGTTAGAGTTCGGGTTAGGGTACTCTCCAAGCAGAGGTTTGGGTTTCCGCTTATTTTTTGCGTGTTTGGGCTTTCTTTTTAGCACTAGGTTACCGTAAAAAGAAGATACCATTGCAAAAGAAAACCCGTTAAAAAAAGCCTTAACACACACCAAAAAGCCAAAACCCAAACCTCTGTTTTGAGTTTGAGTAGCCTCCATAGCATGCCAAAAACTGGGGGTTTGGGGAGTCTTCAGGGTCTTTGGGAGCTTTTATGATATGCTATTTTCTGATTGCATATAGACAACATAGCCGGCCTGGTTAAATTACACCCGTTTTTTGAACTGGGCTAATCAGAAAACAGCCGAAGACCACCAGATCTGATCCCAAGTTCTATAAGCCTGCTACAAAGGCTAAAGGTTTATAGGGTTAGGGACCGTGTTATGGTTCTATTGTTGTCGGTAAGCGGTCTATTCACGTGTGTAAATAGTACAATAATACCGTCTGGTTCTTACCAAAACAAGGCAGATAGAGTTGCTAGTACATTTGTACCATGCCTCTACCAGGCTTCGGGAGGCGGCTGGAAAGGGTAGAAATTGGCCAAAATACTGAGAGACAACATGCCGAGGGAGTTGGTCCGCTAGAGAGTACGTTTACCGTCTTTTTGCCGCACTATACTCTCTAGCGGACCAACTCCCTCGGCATGTTATCACTCTACTTGCACAATTTCTACTCTTTGCAGCCTCCTCTCGAAGCCTGGTAGAGGCTAATAATTTCAAACTTACCGTGTGTGGTGGTTAGCGTAGCCAGGCCGCTTAGGATGACCAGCACGGTCCTGGTGACGCTATAAGATCCCAACATGGCTGCGGGGAGGCCACGGCTGGGAATCGTCAGATCTACCGGGCCGGGTAGTGAGATTCAGTCGGGCGGGCGGGCTAGTCCGCCCCGCCGGAGCCCGTTACTCTCTCCCGTGGCACAAACCCAGCTCTACGAGCCCGTCCAGGCGGGGCTAGTCCGTTCTTTCGGCGGCTGCAGGCTTGCCGGAGCCCCGTGGGAAACTTGTCGCGACGCCCGGCGGCCTTTCCACCGAAGAATGTCGGCCACACACTCCGGTAAAAGGGTCAAGTTTCACCCGCCGCCAAACTACCAAACAGGCACCGCTACTCCACGGCTAGTCTGAGCTTTAATACGGGGTCGCTTTCCCCCGAAATCCCCGCCAAAATGCCCCGGTTAGTCCGATAGGAACGTCTCCAAGGGGTTATTGTTGTTCCTTGGATGGTTGGAGCGTCTTGAGGGCCGCTACAAGGAGAGAAAGTCGGAGGGAAAGTTCTTGGTGCGGTCCGTTCGGCGTCTGGCAAGGAGCCACGGAGAACATACACATGGGACGGGCTGTTCCACTCGGCCAGGGGGGTGTTCTGTTGTTGACGTTATGCCTAGGCCACATCAAATAAATTTTATGGATGACATCACATCAACGCGTGCATTAATTTTCGGCTGATTTTGAAGAAGAAGAAAAAAGAAATTTTGTTGCCTTCTGACAGTGGTAAACGTGCCGAAAATGGGCAAATATGTATGATGCCATGCGGGAACGTGGATGGCAAATAACTCGGAAGAGAGGAGACAAGAAAAGGCTCTGATTTAATGTTTTGCTTCTTAGGCCACAGCAAGTAAATTTTATGGATGACATTCTCCGCAGACTCCAAATCTAATGCGAGTGGGCGAAAAAAACAAGAGGGATGAAAAAAACAAGGTTCCTACATTTTAAAATTTTGACTCAATCATTGTACAAATGGTTTTGATTCAGTGGAAACATATATACCATACAGTGGAAACAAATATACACAGCCAGCATCACATATCACTGCAACAAAGTAAGAAACAAAACATTAAATCAGATCCTTTTCTTGTCTCCTCTCTTCAAACCTCTGCTTGGAGAGTGTACCAAAGACACCTCCAGCATCACACAAGAGTTAAATATGAGAGAGACAGTTGTCTCTGAACTGGACCAAGCACAAACCAGCACCAAGAGACCACGTCTAGCATGATACTAGACGTTAAACAAGGACAACAACATCAGAATCTGTAATATAAGTTGTAATCACCCTTTAATACGACTCCCGATATTCGTTCACAAGACCGTGGTACTTTTAATGTCTACTTTTCATACTTCAAGTGCTGTGACCAAACTAGTATTTTTACACGGCAACAACTTATAAACGGGTCTCTAAATTAAGAAGTTATTGTACTAAGTACATTGTACAAACTATTATGAGAAAGAGGTCAAAAATATAGAAGTTCTTGGCTTCCAGAAACCTTTTCGTTTTTTTCCCAAATAAATGAAGCTCTTGTTGCAAAACCACTTCTAGAATACAGAATATACAGCCCTACAAATAATTTTTCACACTGTAACGGCGAGGAGTTTCGACATCTAGCGACTGAAGAAGAAATTGCAGCAAAGAAATTGCGGTATCATTTGGGTAATCAGGTACAAACTTTTGACCTTTCCCCTGCGAAAGCACTGGCCCGTGTCCGCCATTTTGTCCAGCGGCAGGAAGATCGTTTCTCTAAAATCTGAGCCGGTTTTTAGGAAGATTCGGCGTTTTGTCGACCCTACAACAACAGAAACACACAGGTGAGACGTTTGTTGGTTATTCATCTTCACTAGTTGATGTATGACAGCAAGATTGGACCAGGAGAGCGAATTTGGGTTTTTGCATTAGGCCACAGCAAGTATTAAATATGGATGACAACCGCGCGCGCATTGATTTTAGGCTGATTTTGGAAAAAAAAACAAGAAATTTTGTTGCCTTCTGACAGTGGTCAACGTGCCGAAAATGGGCAAAGATGTCTGTTGCCATGCCGGAACGTGGATGGCAGATAACTATGAAGAGAGGAGACAAGAAAAGGCTCTGATTTAATGTCTTGTTTCTTACTTTGATGCAGTGATATGTGATGTTGGCTGTGTACATGTGATGTTCCCACTGAATCAAAATCATCAGTACCATGATTGAGTCAAAATTTTACAATGTAGGAACCTTTTTTTTTTTGGCCCGCCTTGTTTTTTTTTGCCCGCTCGCATTAGATTTGGAGTCTGCGGAGGATGTCATCCATAAAATTTACTTGCTGTGGCCTTATAAGTTATATTAAGATTTGTATGGGAGAGGGGGGCGGTCATATGAATGTAACATTGAAATGTACATGTACTTGTACAGAAAGGAGTAACTCGAAGGTTTCTGACCCCCGGGAATCGAACCCAGCGTGTCAGCTCACAACCAGCGCACTGTAGAACAGAGACATTTAGGGGTAGTTTCTTGGAATGCCCTACCTGGCCTGACCATCTGGTAATGGCTAAGACAATTGAGCATTTTAAAGCTGGGATAGCCAGCCATTATGGCTTCCCTACGTAGCTGTACCCAGCTGTAGGAATGTGGCCAATCCCCAGCTACGACTTCTGTAGATAGTCACTGCTCTAGTCAAGCAAGAAGACCCAGGTTCAATCCCCAGGGTTGGACCCAGACATGTCCGGACTTGCACCCAGACGTTGTGCCCTTGGGAAAGGCACTTAACACGCATTTCCCCCCTCAGTTAGAGGGTTCCTGGACCCTACTAGGGTTTGGGTTGGCGTTAGGAAGAGCATCCAGCCGTAAAAATCTTGCTTCAAAAAAAGACTTGTACCTGTTGCAAGCACATCTAACCCCCGGTTGGGGAAAAATGACGTTAAATTCGGTTTAAAAAAAAAAACTTTTTTGTTCTTGTTTGTTTTTTTCTCACCACCACCACCGGTCACGCTGGGGAAGGACCACTCCCTAAGCACTAGGCCCCGCAAGGCGTGTTGCTTAGTGTTGTGTAGATGTAGATGAAACCGACTCACCCAAAAGATCCAGGACCCAATTTGGGCCGGTAGTTAGTGACGCCTATATACTCGCTGTTACATATGTATATGGACATCCGTCAAAAGTAAGTGCTGCGTTTTTGCCCAGACTATTTTAGGGTACCTTTGAGGGTAGCTACAAAATCCAGTGACTGCCACTTGTTTTGGTTGAAACGAGTGACTTTGAATTTTTTACTCCATTCATTGTTATTCAGTCTGTTTTAAATCTGTTGTGTTTTTCTTACTGTTGTTTTTAGAAATGGCTGAGAGAAGCTGTGAGATTCCTGTGGACAAACAGCCAACAGACAAACCGCATAAATGTGACAAGTGCGACTATTCTACTGCATGGAAAAGCCATTTAGAGCAACACATCGTGGCCAAACACACAGGAGACAAACCCTACATGTGTGGGGAGTGCGGATTCAGGACAGCTTACAGGTCTGCTCTAACCATGCATATGGCTAAACACACTGGAGACAAACCCTACATGTGCGGGGAGTGTGGATACAGGACAGCTTACAAGTCTGACCTATCCCGACATATGAGAACCCACACAGGAGACAAACCCTACATGTGCGGGGAGTGTGGATACAGGACAGCTTACTCGCCTGTTCTCGCCGTACATATGAGAACCCATACAGGTGAGAAACCCTACAAATGTGACCAGTGCGACTTTTCCTTTGCACAGAAAGGCCATTTGGACCGACACATGTCTAAACACACTGGAGACAAACCCTACATGTGTGGGGAGTGCGAATACAGGACAGCTAAAAGGTCTGACCTATTCAGGCATATGAGGACCCATACAGGTGAGAAACCCTACAAATGTGACCAGTGTGACTATTCTGCTGTACGGAAAAGCGGTTTAGACCAACACATCTTGGCTAAACACACTGAAGACAAACCCTACATGTGTAGGGAGTGTGGATACAGGACAACTCAAAAGTCTGCTCTAACCCGACATATGAAGACCCATACTGGTGTGAAACCATAGAAATGTGACCAGTGAGACTATTTTACTGAACATAAAGCCTGTCGAGCCACGCAAATGGCTAAATATACGGGAGCCAAACTGTATAAATGTTTGGGGAGCTTATTTGGACACAGGACAGCTTTTAGGCCTAACCTATCTGCACACACAAAGCCCCTGCTGTACTTGGCAGCACACTGTGATAGTTCAATAAGAAAAAACACTTTTTGAATTTGTCAATCCTTGGTTAACAACTCTGGTGTTTCTAGTTCTGTTCTGAGGTAGTATTTAGGCACTTACTTAGCAGGGTTGGACAAGTTTTCAAAAGTCCACTTGCCTTATCGGGCAAGTACATGGTCATTTCCACTTGCCCGAACCAACTTTTTACTTGCCCAAAATACGACACATTTCTATGCATTTTACTAGCAGAAAGAGTTTATAATGTTGGATGCTTTATTTATCAAAATTGTTTAAAACTTGGTTGAAATACTGCTGGGGCTAAAACTTTGCATCCAAAAAATGTACTTGCCCAATCGGGCAAGTACTGGGGGATATTTACTTGCCCGAACAGTGCTTTTACTTGCCCTGGGCAAGTGGGCAATGGGACTTGTCCAACCCTGCTTAGTAGTTGGTACATTCACCAGTTTATTAGTAATTTTGTACATCATGCATAGTCTGGACATTTTTCGCCAGTCCTATAATATACTAGTAACCAAGTGTTTTACTAACTCTTTCCCAAAATTGCTCTGTTATACATCTAAATACAATTAAAATCTGCCAATGACATAGGTTGTGTGTGTGTTCATGTTCTTTATTCTTGGTTGTGTGAAGGAAGTCTTGGTTGTGGATAAACTACATTGTACAGTGTGTAGTAGGGCACCTAAGGACAAAACTCCCAAGGAAGACAAATGTGGGTTTATCTACCACATAAGTTGCCAGGGAAACACTAACAGAGGCCCCTGTCGGGAAACTAAAAACCAGGTTTCTAGAACATAGACGACCCAGTTCTGTTGCATCTGAGGTGTCACAGCACATCCACATAGAATCACCGGGACACACAGTGGATCTGGAGGGGGTCAGAATCTTGGATACCGAACAGGATTACTTCAAGAGAGGCATAAAAGAGGTCATATACATCAGGGTACTTCAACCATCGCTCAACCGGGACGGGGGGCGATATCGACTTCAGACAACCTTTGACCCTTTGCTGACGTCACACGTGTGAAAAATCATGTGTCCACAGCATTTGGGTAAGATAACTGAGGAAGACTGAGTGATTCAGTCGAAAATTTCTGTTGAGTCAAATTTTGAGTTGGAGAAAAGTTTAAGTTTGTCATAATGTGATTTACCAACTCAGATGAACTTTCATGCTGATGTAGTAGGACATGTTCAGGTTGAGCTGGTTTTGACATCTAGTTTAGGTCCTCACATCATACAGCATGTCCAGGGCAAAAGATATATAAAAAAGGAAGTTCGGCTGCAGTGCCAATGTCAGCCACAAGGAGGCCAAAATTTTACCTTTGCCTTCCTTTGACCTACCCACATACCAAATATTACCACAATCCATAAACGCCTTCTTAAGTTATGCTGACCACAAGTCACACACCACACAGACACACATGCAGACACGCACGCACGCTCACACATGCACACACAGGCACAGAGACAGACACAAACACGTACACAGACAGGCACACACACACACATACAGACACACAAACACGTACAGAGACAGACACACACACACAGACCATAAAGATTTTCATGTAGGTAAACAAGCTGAAATATATATTTTAAGGAATCAGACTGAAACGCTGTTCAAACAGTGTAATCTGACAGTTACTGTTTTATTTGGGTAATCAGGTGTATTTGACCTTTAACCTGTTGAAGCAGTGACCCGTGTCAGCGCTTGTCCGCCATTTTGTCCAGCGGCAGGAAGATCGTTTCTCTAAAATCTGAGCCGGTTTTAAGGAAGATTCAGCGTCTTGTCGACCCTACAACAACAGAAACACACAGGTGAGACATCATCTTCACTGGTATGGCAGCAAGATTGGACCAGGAAGGTTATATGTGTCTGCAATTTTGATTTGTATATCCCTCTGAAAATTAATCTATGGGGGAGGGGGGCAGCATGGTTACCATTCTCTAAAGGTCGGCTTTGCGGGTGTTCCGGCCGGACAGAGGCTGCTTGGCACATGATAGGTCCGTCTTCGGGGCGGCAGAAATAATAACTTATTGGGGAATTGAGGAATTAACGGTATAGGCGAGTTCTTATATCTGTTGGTTTGTGCTCGGACAGTCCTACTCTCCAAGCAGCGGTTTGGGTTTGGGTTTATTTTTAGCGTGTTTTTAGGCCTTTTTTATCGGGGTTTCTCTTGCACTGAATTTCTTCCCACCAGGTAGGAAAAAAAGTCAGTGCAAGAGAAACCCAGATAAAAGAGGCCTAAAAACACGCTAAAAATAACCCCAAGCCCAAACCTCTGCTTGGAGAGTAGGACTGTCTAGCATCTCGCTGTTTCTAGTACTAGGGCCAGTTATTTGTGATCTCTGTGGAGGTAGCCAGTCTCTGTACTCGGACCTTTATGATGACCGGTGCTTATGATGATGATGATAATTACAGGAATATTAATTCACGCATTACAGTAAATCTTGACAAATGCTAGTATACATCATATGCAAGGAAGTTTTAGTGGGCTATAAGCATGTAAGTCACTGACGAAAGCTAGTGGATACTAGCTGAAACGTCTGACCGTTTCCAAAATCATATCCAGTTGCTTGAGTAATTGTTTTTGGCATATCGTATTACCTGGATGTCTAACCTTCATCGACGTAACCTGCTTGTTAGTCGGTGAACATTTCTTTGTCATTCCATCTGTTTTAATTCTGTTGTGTTTTTCTTACTGTTGTTTTTAGAAATGGCTGAGAGAAGCTGTGAGATTCCTGAGGAGAAACTGCCAAAAGCCAAACCCTACAAATGTGACCAGTGCGACTATTCTACCGCACATAAAGGCCATTTAGGGGAACACATGGCTAAACACACTGGAATAAAACCCTACATGTGCGGGGAGTGTGGATACAGGACGGTTAAAAGGTCTGACTTATCCAAACATATGAGAACCCATACAGGAGAAAAACCCTACAAGTGTGACAAGTGCGACTATTCTGCTGTACAGAAAGGCCATTTGGACCAACACATGGCAAAACACACAGGAGAAAATCCCTACAAGTGTAATCAGTGTGACTATTCTACTGCACAGAAACGCAATTTGGACATACACATGGCTAAACACACTGGAAACAAACCCTACAAGTGTGAGGAGTGTGGATATAGGACGGCCTATAGGTCTGTGCTATCCAAGCATATGGCTAAACACACTGGAGACAAACCCTACATTTGTGGGAAGTGTGGATTCAGGACAGCTTACAAGTCTGCTCTAACCACGCATATGAGGACCCATACAGGTGAGAAACCCTACAAGTGTGACCAGTGTGACTATTCTGCTGCACGGCAAGACCATTTGGACCAACACATGGCTAGACACACTGGGGAAAAACCCTACATGTGTGGGGAGTGTGGATACAGGGCAACTCAAAAGTCTGTGCTATCCAAGCATATGGCTAAACACACTGGAGACAAACCCTACATGTGTGGGGAGTGTGGACTCAGGACGGCTTATAGGTCTGCTCTAACCCAACATATGAAGAGCCATACTGGAGACAAACCCTACAAATGTGACCAGTGCGACTTTTCTGCTGCACGGAAAGGCCATTTAGACCAACACATGGCTAAACACTCTGGTGAGAAACCCTACAAGTGTGACCTGTGTGACTTTGCTACTGCATGGAAAAGCAATCTAAACCAACACATGGATACACACACTGGGGGAAAACCTTACAAGTGTGACCAGTGTGACTACTCTGGTGCACGTCAATACCATTTGGACCAACACATGTCTAAACACACCGGTGAGAAACCCTACATGTGTGGGGAGTGTGGATACAGAACAGCTAACAGGTCTGCTCTATCCAAGCATATGAGGACCCATACTGGTGAGAAACCCTACAAGTGTGACCAGTGTGACTTTTCTACAGCACGGCAAGACCATTTGGACCAACACATTATGGCTAAACACACAGGAGAC